TCTTTCCGGTATGTGACAACGTAAGATCTTAGAGTAAGGTGGAATGAAAACGGAACAACTTAGAAGTACACTAGAAATCATAAATAGTCCGTAAAATTACTCGCTCGGGGAGAAAGGAATAAAATTTGCTATAATCGGCGCGAATATATCAGTCTCGCTTTTTCTTTTTGTCATGCGTTAAATATACCGCTAATGTAAATAAATTTTATTCTTATTTAATAGACGATAAGAACTTGTAACTTAAGATCTTGAAGACAGGAAACGCAACATACATAATCGATCCTTCGTTTGCGAAACATAATAAATGTACGGTCTGCCTCGCCAGTGGGGAAAGAATCTGTAGTAACACACCGTTCGATACCATTTGACTTCCCCTGCACTTAAGAAGAAACATGCCCCTTGAAAGCCAATGTACGGAGTATGATGGACGACGTATTCGATCCACGAGCGCTAATGAGCAGAAGAAATTTCCCCGTGGAGCAAGAGGGGAAAGTGGATCGATAATTTCACCATCATATCCTTAGCAACTGCTTTGGCCAGCCATTGTGAAAAAAATGTTGTAATAAAAAGACGTAAACGAAAAAAAACAAACGAAAGACATGTTTGCACAAATATTATTTTGGGTGATGGGTCGTCGAACTTTTACAAATCATCCACCTCCAACCCCCCACATAATTCAGGTGCACAGTACAAAAACAATTTTTCTACATCTTTTCGTTCAGGATGGGCGTTGCACAAGTGTTTTTTTAGGTCTCTTTGTGACGGAAAGTACCTGCTGAACAACTGTGCGTACGGCGTTGCGTAACATTTATGACAGATTCTCAACGGGATCGTTGTAGACCCCTGGGGGTCGATATTTGGAAGGGGGTCATTGATGATCAAGGGATTGATTGGGGATCAATAGATGAAAATGAACTGGCGCTTGAACGATATGAAGAAAACCTCATTTATTACAAAACATAATTAACGTAATTAATTGTTTTGTGAAATAACGCTAAAACCTATAAAAATAAATTACAAATCAGGTGCACTTCTTTCATATCCATCATTCATCCTTGAGCAATAATATGTTCCAAAGACTCTAAAATGATAACTATCACAGCGATTCTCTAAAGTATTTTCCTGGAGAAGTGTTCTTGATAGTTCTAAGAAACAATCAGTATTTTGTAAACACTGAATTAACATGCTGATTAGAAACAGCTTCTGAAATGCGGAAGCCTCTTCGATCATTGGAAATCGGAATATTTACGAGAATAATTATTTATGTGCAATTTTTGGTGTCATGCTATGTGTTATAGCTGTGGATGGATGATGTACATTATAGACAAACGTAGGGTAGAAGCAAGCAATTCTCTTAAAAGGGGTTGATGAAAGTAAAAAGTTGGGAATCCCTGATTTAGGGGTAAATATTACGTGAGTTGAATTCCCTTTCACAGAGTGGCTGCTTTCTGAAAAAAACTGGAAGAGCGGGAAAATGGGAGAATATTGTTGTTGTGGAAAAATCAGAGACTTTATTGAAGAATCTTTAAGTCAGCGAAAATTTTGAGGAAGTTTTTAAACTGTATATAATTCTACAAAAACATTAGTGCAGTGTTATTTTTTTGCTTAATTTTTATTTGGTGAGAAAATATATACTATCCGCAAACTGACGAATTAGGGTCAGGGTAGCATTAATAGTTTCTTTGCAAATCTTAACATAAAAAATAAAAATAAAAAAACGCACTGGAAAACCGAGAAAAGCCAAGGAAATTTGTTCCAAGAAATGAGTGGCCACTCGGGTTACATGAAATTTCCCGATACATATTCCGTGCTAAAAAGTTAATATTTTCAATTTCGGTACTTGCCCTAGAAGTTCGTAATATTATTCTTACACACTTTATGGTAATTGATGTTATAAAAATATTTAATACTCTTACTTTGGTGTGTAATTTTGGCCACTGCTCTCCTTTAGTGTGCAATCATTAATTAATTATTCACAAGCAAAGTAAACATCTTATTTATTGATATTCACAATACATTTTCACTCAACCTCTTGTATTCATCTCTATCCGTTCTCCCAATACAACAACCACTCTCATCTTCCTCCCGTGGTTATCTATTTTATACGACGACCTTGATAACTTGGATAAAGTAGATAGAGCCTATGTTACTGTAACTATAATGAATAAATGAAGTAAAATTACAAAAACTTTTTGGTTCCAAACATAAATAAGGTATATTTAATTCAACGGCAATTCGGTATAAGCCGGTACCAGTTATTATAATAACGTGCAAATAATATAGTAATTATGACCATTCCACTCATGAAATTAAGTCCAGTAGTTTTTAAGAATCCATTAACGAATCAAAGTAGTGATTCACAAGCGAAATTGTTGACTCTATCGATTTTAATTACTACCTCACCCTTAGTGCCCAATCTAAAGCTGCGATTCATTTGTTCTATGAGGTGTTATGTATCGATCATTGTGTCATTGAGGTTAGTTTGCTTCTGGACAGAAGTGTAACTTCAAATTCACGTATCCCCATAGGACGTTATAATATTAATAAATAGATTAGATAGATATATAAGTAAATAGGTAGATAAATAGGTAGGTAGATAAATAGATAGATAGGTAAATAGGTAGATAGATAATGTAGATGTATAGATAGATAATGAGGTAGATAGATAGATAATGAGGTAGATAGATAGGTAATGAGGTAGATAGATAGGTAATGAGGTAGATAGATAGATGAATGGATATATAGGTAGATAGATGAATGGATAGATAAATAGTTAAATAGATAAGGGGTTGTGGAGGTGAAGCAAAGGCGCGCAGCTGGAGTGAGTGAGTGAGAGAGAGGGCGCGCGTGTCGCAGGTCCGCCGTTCGTGCGCCGCGCGGGCGTCAAGTACATCCTGCTGTGGAACGAGTACTTCCACTACGACAACCTGGGCGCGGGGCCCGGCGACGGCGGCGCGCCCTTCCGGCGCTTGGGCTGCGCGCAGGCCGCGTGCTACATGACGGCCGACCGCGCGCTCATGGCGCCGCAGCACTTCGACGCCGTCGTCTTCCACATGTACTACCTGCGCATGCGCCTGCTGCCCTTCCTCAACTGGGGCAAGTTCCCGCCCGCGCGCAGCCCCCAGCAGCGGTGAGTCCCGCCACTCGCCATCACCACCCTCCATCTCCACCACCACCACCACTACCACCACCACTACCACCACCACCATCACCACCATCCCCATCACCACCATCACCACCATCATCACCATCACCACCACCACCACCATCACCACCACCACCACCACCACTACCACCATCACCACCCCACCACCACCATCACTACCACCACCACCAACACCATCAACGCCACCACCTTCACCACCACCATCACTACCACCACCCCCTCACCACCATCATCATCATCACCATCACCACCGCCTCCGTCTCAACTACCACCACCGGCACCACCCTCCATCCCCACTACTACCAACTTCACCACCACCTACCTACCACCACAACCTTCACCACCACCATCACCACCACCACCACCATCATCACCACCATCATCACCACCATCATCACCACCATCATCACCACCATCATCACCACCACCACCACCACCACCATCACCACCAACTTCCCGTGCACTTCTCTCTGCAGCAAAATGAGGAAGCTGACGCCCCTTAAGATGGCCCTCAGCGCTCAGGCTTTCAGGATCAGTTTTTTCAATTGAATCGTTTGTTTCAGAAACCAGTCAAACGCTAAATACCTTATTTTGAGAAAATTATGAAAAAGTTTCCCAATTTTTCTGATTTTAATATATTCAATTTAATAATGCAGTCGATAAATGAATATTTTTCATATAAATAGGCACTAAACGACGTGTCTATCCTCTTGTAACCATAATCCACCGCCAAAACTTGTTTTAGATTTTGACGTTTGACGGGTTTCTGAAATAAATGATTCAGTTGTTCTTATTTTTGTTGCTTTGTTTTGTAAGTTAGATCTTAATTATAAATTAATAAACACTGCCACTCTCAAATTTAATTTTTTGCACGTACGTCGCTCACTTTGTTCGCGATTTCTCATTTTATCGCCGATTGAAAACCATCAGAAATATACTGCACCGACTGTCAAACATACAATTATTGATTTTTTCAGCGTTTGGTAACATTTCGAATTTTTAGCAATTTCTCAAATGTGCTATTTCTAAGTATTCCATATTATGTATTTATCGTCGAAACACTGCTAAAAACTGTGCGACGTATTCTAGGGAGAAGTGCATGGTTTCTCGAGCTCTGGGGTATCTGTTCTAACTCATATACATATTAAGTTGGATTATAAATACAGGTAGCAACGAGAATTTTTGGTTAGAATTGAAATGGAAATATTCTCTTCTATGTAATAAAAACTACTTGCAAAAGAAAATTAGCTACAGTTTTAGGCTATTATCTTTAGTACTTTACTTGAAGAAATTTTTCGTAATACTTTAAAAAAATATTCGAAAATCCACTTTCCCGAAAGAGCTCAAGAAAACCTAAACAGCTAGTGAAGCTACATTTATTATGTATGACTTTTTAATTATTTTTTTATTCTGCCTTCATTTGAGAAGTAGAAAATAAATTTGTTGATCGCGCGATTATATTTTCTAAAAAATAACATATGAACAAAATTGAGAGAAAATATTTTCACTACCCTCACATTTGTCGTTCGTGATGTTGGAAGGATTGCGTGTATGGTCACAAGTTACAAAAGAACTTCATTCGTTGAAAATGGGTGGAGTTGTGTTGGAGGTGGAGGGTGTTTTTTTGGCGGGTATGGCAGCAATGGTCGCCAGTGGCGAGGAAAATTACGGACAATTCCGAGCCTCTGAAAATCACCCGCATCACGATACGTCGTGTGTCGTAGACTGTTCTTGCGAAATAGTAAATGTGTTTCCGCCAACTCCGAGGACAAATCAATATTACGACCATCGATTCCGTATGCTTCCCCACTATAGTGTAATGCAGCAAAAACACATTGAAAATCATCAAAAAATTGTTAAGAATAATAACTAAAGGTCCTTTAGTAACAAACGACTGCACAAGGAATTCCGAATAGAATCGTACGAGGACATATCCTAAGAACTTTAAAAGTTCTCCTATTTTCTGACGGAATCCCCTCCCCCCCCCCCGTCTTCAAACTCTGCAGAAACTTCACAAAACTTAATCGAATATGCTCACGCTTCCAAAAGACAAATTCAGACCTCCAAAAATTCTTCAACAGCATCAATTTCCAACAACTGATAATATAAACTATTAACTGCCAACTACTGTCTTAAATGACGAGTTTCAAGTGCAGATTTCACATTCATTGGACTGATTTATTAAAACAACCATCTCAAAAGAAAATCCGTAACAATCAGAACAAATAGCTTGAATGTATAAGAAAACTTAATATGTAACGTTGTTAACAACAACCGAACAGGATAAATAATACAAAAAAGAACCTTATTGTTGCAAGGGGACAAAATGACACGCCTCGAAAAACATTTTTTGAATTGAATTGAATTGAATTTGCCTTATTTTACGTGGCGAGACTCGGGCCATCAGGCCAGCTCTTCCGTCTGACCACGCAAATTTCGCTACGCTCCTTTCACCAACTAGGAGAGAAAGGAGGTATTTCTTAGGCGAGAAACATGCGATTTGAATTTAGCTCAGAGGCGTGATTTAGGCTTGAGGATCTTTTACATGCAAGTAAATCTACAAACATGGGACAGCCGGCTTTACTTCCCCTCCGAAGGAAGGCGTACGAAGGTTTTTTTCGAAAAGTTTTTTTTTTAGTTTCTTTACTCAATCTGTTCAAGGATGAATTAATTGATGTCATCTTTGTCAACTCAGTTTTATTCAGACAACCCACTTTCGACGGTTTGGCTGTCATCAATCTCGGTATAAGTGGCGAAAGTCAGACGGCAGTGTTATGGTAATTTCAAAATGTTTATTATTTGTATTATTTGTATTATCATCTATTCATTATTTTTAGAAAGATTTTGTTATTATTTTGTATATACATACATATATATTGCTGATGACGGCAAAGGCGTCGAAAGCCGGCCACCTGAATGAAACTGAGTTAACAAAGATGACATCAATTATTTCATCCTTGAATAATGTCAACAACACCTCGGCAGTATTCCCACAACCCACAATTCGATCTATTCGAAATACTTCCCACATATTCTGGATCTCATCACATCCAAATAAAAGTATAGTACACGAGGAAAGTCTCTCCCAGTGCCATCATGCTGATGAAAGTGCTATCAGCACAATTTATGTTGGTATCACGTGCACCAGGCACCGCTGGGACCAACCTAGAGGGCGTGTGGAAGCAATAGGCGAAGTGGAGGCCAGGGTGACGTCATGCATGCGAAACTAGCGCTCCGCGCGGCGGCGGTGACAGCCCGGGTCTCGGCTCGATGCCGACAGGCTTTCCTGCCGCGCTGGAGAATTAAATTCGTGATTACCCGTACTTTTTAGTAGCCAGAATCCTGTTTTGGGACCCTACTACCTTATGCCGAAAAATTGATTGGTGTCAAAACGTCTGTCAGTCCGTCAGTCTGTGAACAACGCTAGCGGCTAAACCGTTCAGCCGATGTTCTCCACAATTGATATTTTCCAATCGATCAGTCTGATATCGCGGCCCCTTGAATTTGAAACCAATGTTTTTTTTAGAGGGTGCTTTACACGAATCCCTTGTGACATTTTCCTAATTTTAAAAAAATGGCTCCAAAGCTTTTGAATTATATTGTTGGTAGTTTTTTTGTTTGTACCGTAAATGACGTTAGGAGAATGGTGCAGGTCTCATCTTTGTTGAGTTTGAAAATCCTTATTTTCCGAAAATTGCAAAAGTTCAAAAACATTTTCGACATCTCTCTACAACTGAACTACAATTATGAAGATAAAGATTTTCCTTAATGTAATATGTTCTTTAAATATAGATTTTGAAATAGGGTTCTGTACAATTTTTTGAAAATTTGGCTACTTTACGCGCAATTAAACGTGAAAATATGGGCAAGAAAGTACGTGCTTAAGTGAAAATACGGATGACAAAGTATCACCAGTTAATGCTCACAATTTATTTTACAAAATACCGAAAGATTTTATCAATCTTAACATATTTAGATAAGTTCTCTCCCATCTAATTATACTTGTAAATTTTGTAGTTACTTTACTTCCATTTGTTTTATTCCATACTTTCCTCTCATTACTGGACAATTTTATTTTTAATATTTTCATAATAAACTATAACATGAAAAAATGTATTCATTTTCTGACAAATTTTGTTTCACATCTGATTATTTGTAAAATTTTTATGCGCTTTCATGAGTTAAGACTTGCCATTACTTGCGATTTTCTGTGAGAAGGGTTAGTGATACTAAATGCTTTGTTTGTGATGAAACAGTAGAATGCTTTTTCTGCTAATGGAAGCTGATTGAGAAAAAATGTCCGAAAATTTCGAAGTATCGGCAGTTATTTTCGTTCCAGATATTCTGGAGCAGAAAATGCGAGCTCTAGTTTGATGTCTTTTAAATCCGTAACGACTAATGAGAAATATTGATTATTAAAAATTATGATTTATTTTGTGATTGGCGAACGAAAAGGAATGTTCGAGGCATTAATGAAGATAATATTCTACAAATGTTTGAACGAGCTGGCAAAAACATTGAAAACAACTAGTCTCTGGCCGTAGTTTAATATGCAGATAAAGGTATAAAAATACATGAGAAGGCCGATTTATTCACGTAAGTTATTCATTCCATGTGATTTGAAGACTAATTATTTAAATATTTATTTACAGTTATTTCCGAAAATTGTGTTCTGTGTCAACGTTGTATGTATCCCAAGATTTATGAACCCTGATGAAATCTAAACCGGAAAGTCCGCTAAAATACTTTTCAATGGACTCTCGACCATTTTAATGGCCATTGCTACGAACGCGATCTTAAAGCGTTGGTTAGATTGTTGGTTGCTAAAGAGCTAAGTGCGTGTTTACCAACGTAAATAACAAAAGAGTACTAATAACGTAGCTCAGAACGCACATACACAAATATTGGGAATGAATGTACTCGGATGGCGCTATTCGGGAATTCATTTTTTCCCGCAACTCCAA